TTTGACACAAGGTACTGATGGACACTGACAGGTGGCACTGCTGAGGCTACACTGATCATCAGTGTTCTGATGATCAGTGTACATGTCCCCTCCGTGTAAAGCCGATTACCGGCTCTCCTCTCCTCTGTCAGCGTGACAGCTCGAGAGGAGAGAAATGCCGATAACTGGCATTTCCCTGTTTACATGTGATCAGCTGTGATTGGACACAGCTGATCACATGACCAAGCCGACATCTTCGGCTCTTTCCGTGATTGGTGATGATCCGCTGTTTGAGGGACACAGCGCACCGCCGATCGCTCCCTGAGCCGCGCATGCACGGTGAGAATGGGAGGAGGTCATATGACATCTTCCCAGAACAAGAGAACCACCTTGCGTCCGTCATATTACTATATGGCGGGCGGGAGGTGGTTAAAGCACCCCAGGCTTATGTGGTAGTATTCTGTATTACCGTGGTAGTATTCGAGGCGGTCAGGAGGACCTGGCTCTGAATTAGCGGATCATCCGGGAGTTACAGCGCTATGGGACAGTGCTGACCGCGCATATTACCTGAACGGAGATCTCTGAAGCTGGTAATGGCAGCCAAACCTGTCCTGTCACTTGTAGGGCTCCATCAAGATGGCGTCTCCAAGGTGACACCATGTGGGAGCTCCAGTCTCCATAAAGAGTACCTGTTACGCCCTATGCTTCAAATTAAATAATAAAAGTATATATATTAAAAAAAAAAAAAATGTAACGCACCCCCCGTGCTTACGTTCAAATCTGACCGCGTACGTAATTCTCACACACCTACGTACACTTGTGAGGTATTGTCGTGAACATCAGAGCGAAAGCAATATTTCTGGCCCCAGACCTCCTGTGTAACTCTAAACTGGTAACCTGTAAAGGATTTTAAAGCGCTGCCTATGAAGATTTTTAGGTACTGTAGTTTGCCGCCATTCCACGAGCGTACGCAATTTTAAAGTGCACCATGTTAGGTATTTATTTACTCAGTGTAACATCATCTTTTACATTTTAACAAAAAATAGTTATTATATTGTGCTTTTTGTTCAAAAAAATTAATAATAGTATATTTCTTCCTAGCAAAATTGTGGTTGAAAATTTGCTGTGCAGGTGATAAAACTTGCAACACCCACCATTTCATTCTCTAGGGCCTTTGCAAAAAAATAATAATAATAATAATGTTTGGGGGGGTTCTAAAAATTTTTCTAGCAAACAAAATAGATTTTTACATGTAGGAGAAAAGTGTCAGAATTGGCCTGGGCAGGACGTGGTTAAAATAAACGACTATAAATATAACCATAACCGGTTACATAAACAACTTTTTTATCTATGAAAATACCTTTTTGGCAATGGCTCACAGAGTTCTAGTGGTCTTCTCCCGATTACTAGTCCTCTTCTCCACATCATTACTGACCTCCATAATAATCCCCTTTTACTCAGTATTACTAGTCCCCCAACTACACTGCTCAAAATAATGAAAGGGACACTTTATAATCCGAGTCTAGCATCCGGTCAATGAAACTCCTGGGATATTGATCTGGTCAGGTAAGTAGCAGAGGGGGTTGTTAATCAGTTTCAGCTGCTTTGGTGTTCATGAAATTAACAACAGGTGCACTAGATGGGCAACAATGAGACGACCCCCAAAACAGGAATGATTTTACAGGTGGAGGCCACTGACATTTTTTTCACTACTCCTCTTTTCTGTTTTTCACTAGTTTTGGCTTGGGTCAGTGTCACTACTGGTAGCATGAGGCCATACCTGGACCCTACAGAGATGCACAGGCAGTCCGACTCCTCCAGGATGGCACATCAATACGTGTCATTGCTAGAAGGTTTGCTGTGTCTCCCAGCACAGTCTCAAGAGCATGGAGGAGATTCCAGGAGACAGGCAGTTACTCTAGGAGAGCTGGACAGGGCCGTAGAAGGTCCTTATTCCATCAGCAGGACCGGTATCTGCTCCTTTGTGCAAGGAGGAACAGGATGAGCCCTGCCAGAGCCCTACAAAATGACCTCCAGCAGGCCACTGGTGTGAATGTCTCTGACCAAACAATCAGAAACAGACTTCATGAGGGTGGCCTGAGGGGCCGATGTCCTCTATTGGGCCCTGTGCTCACTGCCCAGCACCACAGAGCTGAATTGGCATTTGCCATTGAACCCCAGAATTAGCAGGTCCACCACTGGCGCCCTGTGCTTTTCACAGATGAGAGCAGGTTCACCCTGAGCACATGTGACAGACATGAAAGGGTCTGGAGAAGCCGTGGAGAACGTTCTGCTGCCTGTAACGTTTCAGCATGACCATTTTGGTGGTGGGTCAGTGATGGTCTGGGGAGGCATATCCATGGAGGGATGCACCTCTACAGGCTAGACAATGGCACCCTGACTGCCATTAGGTATCGGGATGAAATGCTTGGACCCGTTGTCAGACCCTACGCTGGTGCGGGTGGGTCCTGGGTCCTGGGTTCCTCCTGGTGCGGTGGGTCCTGGGTTCCTCCTGGTGCGGTGGGTCCGGTGGGTCCTGGGTTCCTCCTGGTGCGGTGGGTCCTGGGTTCCTCCTGGTGCACGACAATGCCTGGCCTCACCCTGAGCACATTTGAAAGACGTGAAAGGGTCTGGAGAAGCCATGGAGAATGTTCTGCTGCCTGTAACATGGTTCAGCATGACCATTTTGGTGGTGGGTCAGTGATGGTCTGGGGAGCCTTATCCATGGAGGGACGCACAGACCTCTACAGGCTAGACCAGGGGTGGCGAACAAGTTAGACACAAAGAGCCAAAATTTTAAACTGTGAAAGTCAGAGAGCCACACCACGCAGTGACCTGCCAAAACAGACAAACACTCACACAAAAACACATAATTAAAACCATATTATTCACCATAACACTTTCTTCCCCTTACAAAACAACAATGTGTTCATTTCAAGGTAAGTGTCCACCCTCAACACACACATCAAATGCAACTTAGCCAGAGTTAACACATCAACTACCCTGGAGGTTGCTGTGGCACCTGTCTCTCTCTCCCTTCTCTCTCTCACTCTAACACACAAGTATACAAAAAAAAATTCTGAACTAATGGACTGCAGACACAGTACAGGAGATGACCAGAGACTGCGGACACTGCGGACAGCACAGGGATGACCAGAGACTGCAGACACAGTACAGGAGATGATGACCAGAGACTGCGGACAGTACAGGAGATGACCAGAGACTGCGGACAGCACAGGGATGACCAGAGACTGCGGACAGCACAAGGATGACCAGAGACTGCGCAGGGATGACAGCACAAGGATGACCAGAGACTGCGGACAGCACAAGGATGACCAGAGACTGCGGACAGCACAGGGATGACCAGAGACTGCGGACAGCACAGGGATGACCAGAGACTGCGGACAGGGATGACCAGAGACTGCGGACAGCACAGGGATGACCAGAGACTGCGGACAGCACAGGGATGACCAGAGACTGCGGACAGCACAGGGATGACCAGAGACTGCGGACAGCACAGGGATGACCAGAGACTGCGGACAGCACAGGGATGACCAGAGACTGCGGACAGCACAGGGATGACCAGAGACTGCGGACAGTACAGATGACTGCTGACCTTTGGGGAGGTGGGGAGCGGGTACCTGAATTTGACAGGTACCCGCTCTTACTTCCGCAGAGTTTTTGTTTGATCTTACCTGTTCCTCGATCCAGCCGCGCGCTGTCTTCCCGGCTTCTGTAATGGCGCTCGGCATGACAGCCGGGTGCCCAGTGCGCATGAGCGAGAAGCACTTGCGCTTTGTGATTGGTCCGGCGGCTTCTGGGATCTGTCATGTGTCCCAGGTACCGCCTTACCATTCACAAAGAGCACCGCTTCTTGCGCATGCGCACTTGGCACCCGGCTGTCGTGCCCACACTACAGAAGCCGGAAGACAGCGCGCCGCTGGATAGAGGAACAGGTAAAAATAAGAGAAACATGAAACTTGGCAAAGAGCCACAATATACAAAATATGATAAGAGGCAAAGAGCCGCATTAATTTTGGCCGGGAGCCGCGTGTTCGCCACCCCTGGGCTAGACAATGGCTCCCTAACTGCCATTAGGTATCTAGATGAACTCCTTGGACCCCATTGTCAGACCATACGCTGGTGCAGGGGGTCCTGGGTTCCTCCTGGTGCAGTGGGTCCTGGGTTCCTCCTGGTGCACGACAATGTCCGGCCTCATGTGGGGAGAGTATGCAGGCAGTTCCTGGAGGATGAAGGAATTGATACCACTGAATGGCCCCCACGCTCGCCTGACCTAAATCCAATAGAACCCTTCTGGGATGTCATGTTTCGGTGCATCCATCAGGTTGCACCTCAGACTGTCCAGGAGCTCAGTGATGTCCTGGTCCAGATCTGGGAGGAAATCCCCCAGGACACCATCCGTGGTCTCATTAGGAGCCTCCCCCGATGTTGTCAGGCATACATACAAGCACGTGGGGGCCATACAGACTACTGAGGACCATTCTGAGTTGCTGCAATGACATTTCAGCCAAATGGACTCGCCTGCTGCATCATTTTCCACTTTGATTTTGGGGTGTCTATGAATTCAGTCCTCTGTAGGTCGATAATTTTCATTTCCATCAAGCGATGGGGCGTCCTTACGTTCCTCACCCATCCCCCGTCCATGTCAGTATAGAGATCCAGCAGGGGCGGACTGACCATTCGAACACAGCCCGAGGGCCCGGGGTCAGTAGGGGGCCCCATGAAATGCCCCTGGTACCTTTTCATAGGCTTTTTTGGGTGTGTTTTGAGTGTGGGCAAGGACACAGGGGCCCCATGATCCCCTAGTTCCGGGGGCCCCATGAGTTGTCAGTCCACCCGAGCAGGAGATTCCCCCCCATTGAGATTTGATGGGTTTTCAGTGTTCCTGTCATTTTGTTCAGCTGTGTAATTGCACTCCCTGCCCTGAGGAGAACATAAAGTCACCTGCACCCTGTGAGGAGAGCAGTCATATGACCCCTCCCCGGCTCCTCATTGGCCGGTCTGCTCTCAGGCGGGAATGTCTCTGTCGGTGTATTTCTGTGGTAGTATTCGTGGTGGACGGGAGGACCGGGCTCTGTATGAGCGGATCGTCCGGGAGTTACAGCGATATGGGACGGTGCTGACCGAGCATATCGTCCGACCGGAGATCACTGAAGCCGGTAATGGAAGCCGTACCTGGCCTGTCACCTGTAGGGCTCCGACAAGATGGCGGCACCCTGGTGACACCATGTGGAGGCTGCAGTCCGGGTATATATCGCCCGGGGAGCGGAGATCAGAGGGCTGTATGGGGGAGGTGGGACATCTGGGGGCTCCTAGAGCTGTATAGGAGAGGAGGAGCTTGGCAGAGAAGGGGGGTATTGGAGCTGTATGGGAAGAGGGAGGGGACACGTGACAGAACTGGGGTACATAGAGGTCTGGGGAGGGGCTGGGAACAATGTCTGGGGGTTCATAGAGCTTTGTAGGGGTACAGGACAGATCTGGGGGTTCATAGAGCTTTTTGGGGGTACAGGACAGATCTATGGGGGTCATAGATCTATATGGGAGTACAGGACAGATCTGGGGGTCCGTAGATCTATATGGGAGTACAGGACAGATCTGGGGGTTCGTAGATCTATATGGGAGGACAGTCTGGGGGTCATAGATCTATATGGGGTACAGGACAGATCTGGGGGTCATAGATCTATATGGGAGTACAGGACAGATCTGGGGGTCGTAGATCTATATGGGAGTACAGGACAGATCTGGGGGGGATCTTATGGGAGTAGATCTGGGGGTCCGTAGATCTATATGGGAGTACAGGACAGATCTGGGGGTCGTAGATCTATATGGGAGTACAGGGAGTAGATCATATGGGAGTACAGGACAGATCTGGGGGTTCGTAGATCTATATGGGAGTACAGGACAGATCTGGGGGGTTTGTAGATCTATATGGGAGTACAGGACAGATCTGGGGGTTCGTAGATCTATATGGGGGTACAGGACAGATCTGGGGGTTCGTAGATCTATATATGGGAGTACAGGACAGATCTGGGGGTTGTAGATCTATATGGGGGGTACAGGACAGATCTGGGGCCCGTAGATCTATATGGGGGGTACAGGACAGATCTGGGGGGTTGTATATGGGGGGTAAAGGACAGATCTGGGGGCCCGTAGATCTATATGGGGGGGTAAAGGACAGATCTGGGGGCCCGTAGATCTATATGGGGGGGTAAAGGACAGATCTGGGGGCCCGTAGATCTATATGGGGGGGTACAGATCTGGGGGCCCGTAGATCTATATGGGGGGTAAAGGACAGATCTGGGGGTTTTCAGATCTATATGGGGGTACAGGACAGATCTGGAAGTTTAGATCTATATGGGGGGGGGGGGGGGGGGGTACAGGACAGATCTGGGGGTTTTCAGATCTATATGGGGGTACAGGACAGATCTGGAAGTTCATAGATCTATATGGGGGGGGGGTACAGGACAGATCTGGGGGTTTACAGATCTATATGGGGGGTACAGGACAGATCTGGGGTTTCATAGCGATGCAGGAGGACAGGTCTGGGGGTTTATAGAGCTTTGGGGGGTACAGGACAGATCTGAGGGTTCATAGAGCTGTATGGGGGGTACAGGGTGGAGCTTGGAGGGGTCGTAGAGCTACAGTGGGTACAAAAAATAATCACATTTTGTTGCTTTGCAGCCAGAAATGAAGACAGACACAGTTTTTGTTTTAGCCAGCTGTATTTACTGCAACTTATAACATCCAAGTGAAAGAACACCAACGTCAGAAAAAAAAAATTCAGAAACAGAATCAGAGTTGAAAAAGGGATTCCCCCCCCCCCCCCCCCCTTCCTCCTAAAAAAAAATGACTTGTAAACTCAGTCAGGTGTAGCTAATCACCTTCTCAGTGGCACACAAAGCCATTTGACATTCATCTGTGATCAGCAGGGGGTCATTGTGATTGGCTCAGCATAAAGAGCTTTCCTGGAGCATTTCAGTCCCTGGTAGTGTAACTGAAGCAAACAATCAGCTATGGGTGGCAAGGCACTATATCTGGGATCTCCGGGATAAAGTTGTGGACAGGCACAAGTCAGGCGATGGATAAAAAAAAAAATACAGAGGCTTCCTCAATGCCTAGAAGTGGAGTGAAGTCTATGATGAAGTGGAAGGTATTTGGTACAACAAGGACCCTCCCTGGATCAGGACGTCGCTCCAAACTGGATGGAAGAGCCAGGAGGAAACCGGTCAGAGGCGACCAAGAGGCCTCCTGCAACTCTGAATCCGTGTCAGGAATTGATGATACAGAGTGGTCATTGTAGTCATGTGACACCAAGATCACCAATCCTCCACAAATGGGGCTTGTATGGGAGGGGTGCAGGAAAAAAGCCGCTCCTCAAGAAAGCAGTCACCACTGAGCTTTGCCAAAACAGACCTTGACCCCGGGTTCACACTGATGCGGTGCGGAACTTGCAGCGGTTTCAGTGCGACTTCTGCACCGCATCAGAATCGCCCCCCGTTCATTCGAACCACTGCGGGTGTGTATGTTAACAACCCCCCCGAAAGTGGTTCGCAAAACGCGGTGCGACGTGAAGACTCGGATCACATAGGTGTGAATACCCATGCGATCCAATTCTAGTGCGGACCCAAAAAAGGGACCTGCGTGTTTTTGGTGCGGGTGCGGTGTGATTAAAGCCATACAAAATGTACGACTCCGATCGCACACAAATCACGTGATTTGTACAGGCATGCGGTTACTGTGCGAATCACTGCACCACACCGATGTGAACCCAAGCTGAAGATTCTGAGGCCACATGGAGAAAGAGGTTCTGGTCAAGGGAGACGAAAATGGAATGATTTGGCTTCAACACTAATTGATCCAGGGAATATCCGATCGCCTCTCGGGGGGGGGGGGGGGGGGGGTCAGGATGGAATTTTTTCCCCTGCAGGAGCAAATTGGATCGTGCTTTGCTGGGTTTTTTGCCTTCCTCTGGATCAACTGTGGGTGTAGCATTATAACTTTTTTTTTTTTTTTTTTTTTTTTTAATGGTTGAACTGGATGGATTTTTGTCTTTTTTCAGCCAGAATAACTATGTAACACTAAATGGTATGTCTGGCTGGAAATCCAATCCAGCTCACCATCCAAATCCCACCATTCCTACAGTACAGCATAGAGAGGGGAATATCCTATTATGAAGGGGGGGGGGGGGGGTGGTGGTAATATCCTGTTATTGGGGGGGGTGGTAATATCCTGTTATTGGGGGGGGGGGGGGGTAATATCCTATTATGAGGGGGGGTGGTAATATCCTGCTATGGGGGGTGGGGGATATTATCCTGTTACGGGGGGGAGGGTAATATCCTGTTATGGGGGAGTGTAATACCCTTTTGTGGGGAAGGGTAATATCCTGTTATGGGGGGGGGGGGGGGGGAGTAATAATATCCTGTTATGGGGGGAGGGTAATATCCTGTTATGGAGGGGGGGGGGGGGAGTAATATCCTATATCCTGTTATGGGGGAGGGTAAGATCCTGCTATGGGAGAGGGTAATATCCTGTTATGGGGGGGGGGGGGGAGAGTAATATCCTGTTATGGGGGAGGGTAATATCCTGTTATGGAGGAGGGGGGGGGGGGGGTAAGTAATATCCTATATCCTGTTATGGGGGGGGGGGGGGGGGGGGGGGGGGGAGTAATATCCTGTGGTGGGGGAGGGTAATATCCTGTGGTGGGGGAGGGTAATATCCTGTTGGGGGGGGGGAGTAATATCCTGTTATGGGGGGGTAATGTCCTAATCTGCTATGGGGGGGTAATGTCCTAATATCCTGTTATGGGGGGAGTAATATCCTGTAATGGGGGGGGGCAGTAACATCCTGTTATGGGGGCTTCTCTGCAGCCGGGACTGGAGCACTTGTCAGGATAGAAGGAACATGAATGGGGCAAAAATCCCGTCTCATTGTGGAGGAAAATCTGCTGCTCTCTGCTAGAAAGTTGTCCATGGGAAGGTGGTTTACCCTCCAACATGACAATGACCCAAATCACATGGCAAGAATCCCCCCCAGTGATTGGAGGAGAAGGGGAATGTCCTTGCATGGCCGAGTCAGAGTCCAGACCTAAACCCCTTTGATAATCTGTGGAATGACTTGAAGACTGCAGTCCCCAATAGTCATCATCAAATGTAACTGAACTGGAGCCGTTCTGCAAAGAAGAGCAGATAAATATTACAAAATCTAGATGTGCAAAGTTACTCAACAGACTAAAGGCTGGAATTAAAGCAAAAGGGGGGTTCAACAAAATACAGACACAAGGGGGGGGGTCCTTTTTCCAACTCTGTGATTCTGTTTTTGAAAAAAAAAAAAAAAAACATTCTGACTTGTTCTATCTTTCATTTGGATGTTATAAGTTGCGCTGAGTAAATCCAGTTGGATAACACAAAAATTTCATTTCAGGCTTCAAAGCAACAAAATGTGAGTATTTCAAAAGGGGGGGGCATTCTTTTCTATACACATTGTTTACGGGGTAGAGGATGGGGGTGGGATGACAGATCTGGGGGTTTATAGCTCTCTATGGAGGGGACATGACAGGGATGAGGGATCATAAAGGTCTTTGGGGGATGGGGGGCTGTGTGAAAGAAATGTGGCTCATAAAACATGGAGGTGAACATGATATCTGGGGGTCATAGAGGCTCTATAAGGGGACATGTAAAAATAGGGGGCTTATCAAGCTCTATACGGGGAGAGATGGGAGTCATAGATTTCTGTAGAGGGAGGCTACATAACAAAGCTGGGGGTCATAGTGTTCTTGAGGTAGGAGGGGGGTAGCATGACAGTGCTGGGGGCTTTTGGAGCTCTATGGAAAGGGGGTTCACAACTGAGCTGGTGGCTGACTATAATTTATTGGGATTACAGATCTGGGGGAATGACAGATTTTGGGATCTATAGTTCTCTGTGATGGTGGGCATGACAGTGATGGGGGTCTTAAGGGAGGGAACCGCATGACAGAGCTGGGGGCTCATAGAGCTCTATGGGGGGAGGAAGGGGTGCTACATGACAGAGCTGGATCATGGGGGGTCTATGAGAAGTATGGCCGTGCGGAGGGATAATAGAACTCTATGGAGGAGTGCTAAATGACAGAGCTGGGCGTCAGAGTTCTTGTGGGTGGGGAGGACAGCATGACCGTGCTGGGGGCTTTGGAGCTCTAAGGAAAGGGGGTTCATAACTGAGCTGGTAGCTGACTATAATTAATTTACTGGGGTTATAGATGTGGGGGAATGACAGATCTTGTGGTCTATAGCACTCTGTGATGGGGGGGGCATGACTGTGATGGGGGTCTTAAGAGTTCTTAAGGGAGGGAACAGGATGACAAAGCTGGGGGCTCATAGAACTCTGAGGGAGGAAGGGGGTGCTACGTGACAGAGCTCGGGGGCTTATAGTGCTCTATGGGGTAGGAAGGGGGTGCTACATGACAGAGCTGGATCATGGGGGATCTATAAGGGGCATGGCCATGCGGAGGGATAATAGAACTCTATGGAGGAGTGCTAAATGACACAGCTGGGGGTCATAGAGTTCTTGAGGGTTGGGGGTAGCATGACAGAGCTGGGGGCTCATAGAGCTCTATGGGGGAGGAAAGGGGTGCTACATGACAGAGCTGGATCATAGGGGGGTCTATGAGGGGCATGACAAAGCTGGGGGCTCATAGAACTCTATGAGGGAGGAAGGGGGTGTTACATGACAAAGCTGGGGGCTTATAGAGCTCTATGGGGGAGGAAGGGGGTGCTAAATGACAGAGCTGGGGGTCATAGAGTTCTTGGGGGGGGGGGGGGGGGGGGTAGCATGACAGGGCTGGGGGCTCTTGGACCTCTAAGAAAAGAGGGTTTCATAACAGCTGGTAGCTGATAGAGATTTAATGGGGAAGGGGGGGAAGAAAGTTTGGGTTTCTAGAGCTCTATTTGGGTGGAGGAATGCCGCAGAGCCCCCAATATGAGGCAAGGCAATTTGAGGGTCTGCAGGTTGTGAGCAATGTTCATGTTACACCCCCAAAAGGACGGAATCCGCTTTTAAGCGAACTCATATTTGTAAGTTTCATGAGACTGACCTATGTGGTGAAAGGATCCACGTCTTCTACTCTCCTATCAGGGTGAGGGCCAGGCTGTTCCTCAAGCCAAGGCCAAGGGGGTCGCCACTTTTAACAAACGCATTAAGTTCTAATGAGGGTTATCTTTGGCTAGTAGATGTACGCTGACCTCTCCCGGGAAGGATGGTCCTGCTGTCCCCGTAGCGTACGCTGACCTCTCCCGGGAAGGATGGTCCTGCTGTCCCCGTAGCGTACGCTGACCTCTCCCGGGAAGGATGGTCCTGTCCCCGTACCGTTCGCTGACCTCTCCCGGGAAGGATGGTCCTCCTGTCCCCGTAGCGTACGCTGACCTCTCCCGGGAAGGATGGTCCTCCTGTCCCCGTAGCGTACGTACTCTGACCTCTCCCGGGAAGGATGGTCCTCCTGTCCCCGTAGCGTACGCTGACCTCTCCCGGGAAGGATGGTCCTCCTGTCCCCGTAGCGTACGCTGACCTCTCCCGGGAAGGATGGTCCTCCTGTCCCCGTAGCGTACGCTGACCTCTCCCGGGAAGGATGGTCCTCCTGTCCCCGTAGCTGTAGGATTGTCTTCCTGACCTCTCCTCCCGGGAAGGATGGTCCTCCTGTCCCAGTACCGTACGCTGACCTCTCCCGGGAAGGATGGTCTTCCTGTGACCTCTGACCTCTCCCGGGAAGGATGGTCCTCCTGTCCCCGTAGCGTACGCTGACCTCTCCCGGGAAGGATGGTCCTCCTGTCCCCGTAGCGTACGCTGACCTCTCCCGGGAAGGATGGTCCTCCTGTCCCCGTAGCGTACGCTGACCTCTCCCGGGAAGGATGGTCCTCCTGTCCCCGTAGCGTACGCTGACCTCTCCCGGGAAGGATGGTCCTCCTGTCCCCGTAGCGTACGCTGACCTCTCCCGGGAAGGATGGTCCTCCTGTCCCAGTACCGTACGCTGACCTCTCCCGGGAAGGATGGTCCTTCCTGTCCCAGTAGCGTACGCTGACCTCTCCCGGGAAGGATGGTCTTCCTGTCCCAGTACCGTACGCTGACCTCTCCCGGGAAGGATGGTCTTCCTGTCCCAGTAGCGTACGCTGACCTCTCCCGGGAAGGATGGTCTTCCTGTCCCAGTAGCGTACGCTGACCTCGTCCGGGAAGGATGGTCCTCCTGTCCCCGTAGCGTACGCTGACCTCTCCCGGGAAGGATGGTCCTCCTGTCCCCGTAGCGTACGCTGACCTCTCCCGGGAAGGATGGTCCTCCTGTCCCCGTAGCGTACGCTGACCTCTCCCGGGAAGGATGGTCCTCCTGTCCCCGTAGCGTACGCTGACCTCTCCCGGGAAGGATGGTCCTCCTGTCCCCGTAGCGTACGCTGACCTCTCCCGGGAAGGATGGTCCTCCTGTCCCCGTAGCGTACGCTGACCTCTCCCGGGAAGGATGGTCCTCCTGTCCCCGTAGCGTACGCTGACCTCTCCCGGGAAGGATGGTCTTCCTGTCCCAGTACCGTACGCTGACCTCTCCCGGGAAGGATGGTCTTCCTGTCCCAGTACCGTACGCTGACCTCTCCCGGGAAGGATGGTCTTCCTGTCCCAGTACCGTACGCTGACCTCTCCCGGGAAGGATGGTCTTCCTGTCCCCGTACCGTACGCTGACTGACCTCTCCCGGGAAGGATGGTCTTCCTGTCCCCGTACCGTACGCTGACCTCTCCCGGGAAGGATGGTCCTCCTGTCCCCCGTACCGTACGCTGACCTCTCCCGGGAAGGATGGTCCTCCTGTCCCCGTAGCGCACGCTGACCTCTCCCGGGAAGGATGGTCTTCCTGTCCCCGTACCGCGTACGCTGACCCCTCCCGGGAAGGATGGTCCTCCTGTCCCCGTAGCGCACGCTGACCCCTCCCGGGAAGGATGGTCCTCCTGTCCCCGTACCGCACGCTGACGACCTCTCCCGGGAAGGATGGTCCTCCTGTCCCCGTACCGCACGCTGACGACCTCTCCCGGGAAGGATGGTCCTCCTGTCCCCGTACCGCACGCTGACGACCTCTCCCGGGAAGGATGGTCCTCCTGTCCCCGTACCGCACGCTGACGACCTCTCCCGGGAAGGATGGTCCTCCTGTCCCCGTACCGCACGCTGACGACCTCTCCCGGGAAGGATGGTCCTCCTGTCCCCGTACCGCACGCTGACGACCTCTCCCGGGAAGGATGGTCCTCCTGTCCCCGTACCGCACGCTGACGACCTCTCCCGGGAAGGATGGTCCTCCTGTCCCCGTACCGCACGCTGACGACCTCTCCCGGGAAGGATGGTCCTCCTGTCCCCGTACCGCACGCTGACGACCTCTCCCGGGAAGGATGGTCCTCCTGTCCCCGTACCGCACGCTGACGACCTCTCCCGGGAAGGATGGTCCTCCTGTCCCCGTACCGCACGCTGACGACCTCTCCCGGGAAGGATGGTCCTCCTGTCCCCGTACCGCACGCTGACGACCTCTCCCGGGAAGGATGGTCCTCCTGTCCCCGTACCGCACGCTGACGACCTCTCCCGGGAAGGATGGTCCTCCTGTCCCCGTACCGCACGCTGACGACCTCTCCCGGGAAGGATGGTCCTCCTGTCCCCGTACCGCACGCTGACGACCTCTCCCGGGAAGGATGGTCCTCCTGTCCCCGTACCGCACGCTGACGACCTCTCCCGGGAAGGATGGTCCTCCTGTCCCCGTACCGCACGCTGACGACCTCTCCCGGGAAGGATGGTCCTCCTGTCCCCGTACCGCACGCTGACGACCTCTCCCGGGAAGGATGGTCCTCCTGTCCCCGTACCGCACGCTGACGACCTCTCCCGGGAAGGATGGTCCTCCTGTCCCCGTACCGCACGCTGACGACCTCTCCCGGGAAGGATGGTCCTCCTGTCCCCGTACCGCACGCTGACGACCTCTCCCGGGAAGGATGGTCCTCCTGTCCCCGTACCGCACGCTGACGACCTCTCCCGGGAAGGATGGTCCTCCTGTCCCCGTACCGCACGCTGACGACCTCTCCCGGGAAGGATGGTCCTCCTGTCCCCGTACCGCACGCTGACGACCTCTCCCGGGAAGGATGGTCCTCCTGTCCCCGTACCGCACGCTGACGACCTCTCCCGGGAAGGATGGTCCTCCTGTCCCAGTACCGTACGCTGACCTCTCCCGGGAAGGATGGTCTTCCTTGTCCCCGTACCAGAACACTGCTCCAGCCTCAGAAATTGCTGTGTGAGATCAGCCATGCCTTGGAAGCTCAGCCTTTGTGCTCCATAGTGAAGCTCATTTCCAGGCAGTGAGTGAGCGGAGGTGGTTACCAGCATTGATCTGAGGTTGTGCTCCTGAATTATGAAGACCACACATTTGCAGTCTGGTACCGGCCTTGTGCCAAGCTTGTATCGGTTTGTGTTAGAGACGGATCGATATCAGGATTTGGGGAAACTGCGCGTGCTGATCTCCTGTGTCGTCTGTTGTAGGGGAAGATGCTTTTGAAAAAGGAGACAAGTTCATCCACGACAGAGATGTTAAGTGGCTTCAACAGGCCGATGTGGTGGTGGCAGAAGTGACCCAGCCGTCCCTGGGTGTCGGGTATGAGTTGGGCCGGGCTGTGGCAATGAACAAAAAGATCCTGTGCCTATTCAGACCATCTTCTGGACGAGGTGAGGAATGTTTATACAGGGTTTGTTTCTGTTTAGTTTTCTTTTTTTTTAGTCCCTTTCCCTTATGTTCACCTGGTGATCTGGCCAGTAAGTCTGTTAGAATAACATCCACTCTTGAAGATGTAGCTGTTTAGAGGGCTGGGACAAACCAGTTATCACAGTCAGGGGTGCTTACAATGATCAGCTTTTATTTACATATGTAAAACCTTTATCCTAAGAGGATCAACACTGTCTGCTGTACCTGCGTGTAAAGTGTGAGCTGGAATTTGGCTTCAGTTTGTTAGTGTATCTACAGTGGGTATAGAAAACCATCCCCCCACCTTTACAATAGTCATTTTGTTGCTTTGCAGCCTAAAATGAAGACGTACAGTTTTTGTTTTATCCAGCTGTATTCTCTCAATCTCTCTATTCTATTCATTCTCTCTATTCTATTCATTCTCTCTATCTCGTCGTATCCGACCCTTGGCGATTGCATGGACTGTCATCTGTAAGCGACTTTTTCCATGAATTCTCTTAGCCATTATTTACAGGGTAGGTTGCCAGGTCTTTCCCCAACCATGCAGGAGGATGAAACTAGGGACAATTTAGACAGGAGTCAATTAACCTACCAGCATGTCTTTGGAGTGTGGGAGGAAACCGGAGTACCTGGCGGAAACCCACGTGAACACAGGAGAACAATCAAACTCCATGCAGGAGGCGCCATGGTTGGGAATTGAACCCATGATTCGATTACTGCAAGGCAGATGTGCTAACCACTAAGCCACTGTGCCGCCCATTTACTTTATAGTGTAATGTATAACATCCAAGTGGAGGATAGAACACCAACATGTCAGAAGATGGGGAAAAAAAAAAGCTTTGCTCTGGGTGTCAAAAAAAAATTTTTTTTTTCTTTCTATTATTTAAAAGAGAAGTATGGGCAAACTAAAAGTCATACGATTGGGGATTACATCTACTTTAAGCACTTGCTGCCAATCAACTTATGGATATGTCCTTGACTTTAAAGCGGAGTTCCACCTGAAAGAAGAAAAAAAAAAGTCAGCAGCTACAAAAACTGTAGCTGCTGACTTTTAAAATACAGCCACTTACCTGTCCCTCGGTCCAGCGGTGTTCTCACCAGGGCTGGTTTCATTGGCCGTCTTCTTGCGCCAGCATCTTTAGTGTGGGCACCCAGCTGTGACAGCTTGCAGCTTTACCTCAGGTGCCCGCTGCGCATGTGCGAGTAGCACTGTGCTTTGTGAATGGCCCCGTAGTCTTCTGGAACCTGTCACGTGTCCCAGAAGACGGGGGGGGGGGGGGGGGGGGGAGGGAGGACAACTTCCACTTCCGATCGCCTAGGTCAGGGATAGGCAGCTGTTGCAGGGACTACAAGTTTCCATCATGCCTCTGCAAGTCATATCTGTAACTGTGTTTTTTAATGTTGCAATGCCTCATGGGAAATGTAGTTCCACAACAGAGAACCGCAGGTTGCCTACCCCTGGCCTAGGTGATCGCAGCGGAAGTGGGAGCGGGTACCTGTCAAATTCGGGTACCCGCTCCCCAAAGATGCCAATCCTTAATGGGGAGCGGGGGACAGGCTTAAAGTGGAACTTCCCCGTGTGTGTGTTAGTATATGTTCGGGGGTTCTCATTTTCTAGCAAAAAATACTGATTGTTACATGTAAACAAAAAAGGGCCAGAAATGGTTTGGAGCTGAAGGGGTTAAGTAGCGTCTGGTGTAACGGCACTAAAACTTATGGCCAACTTCAGGCAAGCTGGTTGTGCTGTACACAACCCGAGAGCCAGCAAGTCCTTATCACAGGGAAGTGTGGGCACCTGGTAAGTGGCTGGAGGCTCATTGGGCTCAGATGAATTGTCTGTACCTGAGAGCTCCATCCTTCCTTCCCTCTGCAGCCTTTTATATGAATGATTAGCCAACGCTGCTGTGTTCTTGTATCCCATATTCATTCTCTGCTATCACCTTGTGCTCTTCTATTTCTAGTACTGTCGGCAATGATTCGGGGTGCCCACGACGGACACTCGGTTCTTGTTAGGGACTACAAGCCTGAGGAAATGGAAGGAATGCTTTCAGAATACTTTACTGTCACCTTCCCATCATTGTGACTCAATACCTGCAAATTGTGTGATTTAATAAAATGATTTTTTTTTTTTTTCCCTGACTTTTCTTCTTATGTGTCGCATCAAGAATTAGGAGATTTGCAGATCAATATTCCGACATGCTTGTTCACAGGATAGTAAGCAGAATCTTGCCATACATCAGATGCGTGGTCTCTGGGGGGGGGGGTTACCACCCATTCCTGAATGGCTGAACTGCCCTATACGGTTCAGTAGTCTGACTGTCATGATCAACTTGAAAATTTAGCCTCAAGTGCAGCCCGCTGATGCTTTGAGAGCAATAGCAACAATAGCTGGCATGGTTGTGTGTTCAGGTGCATTGTGCCAAGTTAGGAAGCCCATTTGAATGACCTGTAATGCACCTCAAAGCCCAATGCTTTTGGTCCTGATGCATTTTTTTTGCAGTGTATCTTAACCCCTTTGCGCCGGCCGCACACAAATGTGCGGCCTCCCGGCGTCTGGGCCTAGACGCCGAGCGGCCACACATTTGTGTCCATGTAACTAAATACATATGTGCTGAGAGCGCGCGCCCTGCGCGCTCCCAGCACACATGTGTGGTACTCACGGAAAGGTCCCGGTCCGCTCTTTCGAACGGGACCTTTCCCGATCATGTGACCGCCGTGACGCGTCATCACGGCGGTCACATGATTCCTAAGCCACGCCCCAACTGCCCCGCCTCCCGGCGGCTGAATCTCTTAAAGGGCCGGGAGGCATCGGCGGGAAGGGGTTAATGCACATTGTAGAGGACGTTGAGTAAATTAAACCTCATCCTTGGTGTCGGAGGCAGTAGTAATAACATTCAGTGTTGGTGTCAGTGGATGCAATAATAACCTCCAGTGTTGGTTGTGACGGGCGCGGCATCAGACCTCAGCCCTTCTCACCAACTTGTGACTGAAGGACTAGCCAATTTAAAACCGCGCTGCCACTTGCTTAACAATGCCACTCTCAACTGCACCCTGCTGCACCCTGCACAGAGATTTTCCATCTCACTGGACTACAATCTGTGTCAACAGCCTGAGAGCGATTGTTACTGGGTCAGGTTAATTACGCAATTAACCCTTCACACTGCCACCACCACCTTTTTACAGAGAGGAGGAAACTCACTAATCTTAGCAGTAACACTATGATGTTTGAATAATCATCTGTATACACACTGTCATCGCAGGCAGATGTATCCAGAGGTTTTAAAACACACAGTAGCACTCTTCAGAGACAGGGATTCTTAGTTTGCATTAAAGAGCTTTAGAAACACTTCAACACTTTTCAGAAAATACGATTTATTACTAAAAAGGTCAAAATGGTGCAACAAAAATATTTACAGAAAAGATGTAACCAATATAGAGAGATGAAGGAAGAAGGTAGAATACTTGCAGAAGTCCTGGTTTAAGCAGAGTCCAAGTGTCCTGAACAAAAGGGTGCCTTCTCTCCCAAAGTTGGTTCCTGATGTTAAAAGGGAGAATCTCTTCATCTTACTCCCCAGGCATGACAGCCTTTTTTTTTTAGGAACCCAGCAGGGTGTCTCCCTTCCTGGGACAAAGCCCACTTGATCTAAATGTATCCATTCAGGCATTGACTTTTAACCTCGTAGCAAGCACCTTTGTGAACAGTTTTGTATCTATATTTAGAAGTGATATAGGTCTTTAAGCTAGCACATTGTGAGCGATCCTTTCCTTTAGAACGATCGTTTTTTTATGCTTGCAGCGATTCTGCTCTTATTCCCCTTCCCTCTCCTAAGGCATTCATAGATGTACAAAGTTTAGGGACCAATAGGTCTCCCAATTTCTTATAATACCCCATGGTAAACCCGTCGGGTCCTGGGCTCTTACCTCCTGCTGTGTTCTTCAGGGCATCATTTCTCCTTGGAAATCACATGGTTCTAAAGACACTCATTTTTCTTTTGATATTTGGGCAGGTCTGCTGCTTTTTTAGGTATTCCAGCCGTTTTCCCCCTCTTCTTCCTCTATACCAGCGGTTCTCAACCTGGGGGTCGCGACCCCTTTGGGGGGGTCGAACGACACTTTCCCAGGGGTCGCCTAAGACCATCGGAAAACACATATTTCCGATGGCCTTAGGAACCGAGACACCGCTCCTTGATCCGTCTGCAGGTGTGGGTGGGATGACATGCCGTCTCTGTCATCTGGACACACCCCCGGGATCAATCCTTCCTCGTCGGTGATTGGCCGCCGGAACTGTAGCTCAAGAGAGGCACACAGGCGGCCAATCACCGGCGAGGAGGTGGAGCTTGGAAAGGAGGAGCCGAGCGGCACCGCGAAAGCACGAGCGAGTGAAGAGGAGGAAAGCGGCCGGAGAAGGAAGCCATCTGACTGGTAAGTGTTTGTACCATGGGAGAGGGAGGGAGCGAGCCCAGGCTGGAGCAGGGGTCAGCAAGGTAAGTATCATTGGTGTCAGTGGGAGGAATAGTGCCCAATCATTGGTGTCACTATTACCAATGATGGGGCACTATTCCTCCCCCCACTGACACCAACGATGGGGCACTATTCCTCCCCCCACTGACACCAACGATGGGGCACTATTCCTCCCACTGACACCAACGATGGGGCACTATTCCTCCCACTGACACCAACGATGGGGCACTATTCCTCCCACTGACACCAACGATGGGGCACTATACTTCCCTCTGATACCAACGACGGGGCACTATTCCTCCCACTGACACCAATGTTGGGGCACTATTGCTCCCCCTGATGCCAACGATGGGGCACTATTCCTCCCACTGACACCAATGATGGGGGCACTATTCCTCCCACTGATACCAATGATGGGGCACTATTCCTCCCACTGACACCAATGATGGGGCACTATTCCTCCCACTGACACCAATAATGGGGCCGTATTCCCCCCACTGACACCAATGATGGGGCACTATTCCTCCCACTGACACCAGTGATGGGGCACTATTCCTCCCACTGACACCAATGATGGGGCACTTTTCCTCCCACTGACACCAGTGATGGGACACTATTCCTTCCACTGACACCAGTGATGGGGCACTATTCCTCCCACTGACACCAATGATGGGGCACTATTCCCCCCACTGACACCAATGATGGGGCACTATTCCCCCCACTGACACCAATGATGGGGCACTATTCCCCCCACTGACACCTATGATGGGGCACTATTCCTCCCATTGACACCAACGATGGGGCACTATTCCTCCCCCCACTGACACCAACGATGGGGCACTATTCCTCCCCCCACTGACACCAACGATGGGGCACTATTCCTCCCCCCACTGACACCAACGATGGGGCACTATTCCTCCCACTGACACCAACGATGGGGCACTATTCCTCCCACTTACACCAACGATGGGGCACTATTCCTCCCACTGACACCAACGATGGGGCACTATACTTCCCTCTGATACCAACGATGGGGCACTATTCCTCCCACTGACACCAATGTTGGGGCACTATTGCTCCCCCTGATGCCAGCGATGGGGCACTATTCCTCCCACTGACACCAATGATGGGGGCACTATTCCTCCCACTGATACCAATGATGGGGCACTATTCCTCCCACTGACACCAATGATGGGGCACTATTCCTCCCACTGACACCAATAATGGGGCCGTATTCCCCCCACTGACACCAATGATGGGGCACTATTCCTCCCACTGACACCAGTGATGGGGCACTATTCCTCCCACTGACACCAGTGATGGGGCACTTTTCCTCCCACTGACACCAGTGATGGGGCACTTTTCCTCCCACTGACACCAGTGATGGGACACTATTCCTCCCACTGACACCAGTGATGGGACACTATTCCTCCCACTGACACCAATGATGGGGCACTATTCCTACCACTGACACCAATGATGGGGGCACTATTCCTACCACTGATACCAATGATGGGGCACTATTCCTCCCATTGACATCAGTGATGGGGCACTATTCCTCCCACTGATATCAATGATGGGGCACTATTCCTCCCACTGATACCAATGATGAGGCACTATTCCTCCCACTGCAAAATTACAGTTATGAAGTAGCAACGAAAATAATTTTATGGTTGGGGGTCACCACAACATGAGGAACTGTATTAAGGGGTCGCGGCATTAGAAAGGTTGAGAACCACTGCTCTATACCTTTCGGGTACTTGTATTTTACATCATACAGCTTACTATAAAATTTTTGGAACGTTTCAGCAACGCCAGTGGTGGAGTAAACCAGTTCTCCTTTTTCATTCTTAATTTTTTCAATATTTTTTTTCCTTAAGTCTTTTCATCAGATATTTTCTTGGCTTATTCCCCCCCACTGATATCTTTCCTTTGAAATCCTATTGAAAATCCTCCTCGATTCCTGTTCCACTAGGTCTTTTTAAGTATGAGCTTCGAGTAAACCTGTGTCCTGTCTCTTTTTATGTGCCTGTTCTAATCTATACAATTCCTCCATCCCCTCCTTTATTTTTCTCTCACAATCTTTCTTTTTTTGCTCCGGCGGCTATCAGAACCCGGTGCGGTAACACGTGGTGTCACCCCTCCAGAGAGGTAGGAATGGGGCGGGAACCTCTAGTGCTCCTGCGGCTATCAGAATTCCCTTCACATACGCCTTATGTGCTTCCCAAGTGGTGGCCACAGAGACTTCCTCAGTTTCATTTAGCAGAAAAAAACTTGGTCTATTTCCTTCCTTAACCTTCTCTCCATCGCAGGGTCCTGTATAGACGTGTCATTTAGTTTCCACATTGCCCTTTAATTCCATTCTCCTCCTACCTTTAATCTCTCCGTGGCAGGAGCATGATCCAAGATAGACATAACTTCTATATTATGTTTACCCAATGAGTCCAGTTGTCTATGCTCGATCATTAGATAATCCAACCGTGAGTACGATCTATGCACCAGAGAGAAAAAGGTATCTCTTTCTCTGGGATGTATCTATTAACTGACTTTGATGCAGAAGCGTCACTAGGGTTGGTGTGACCCAGTGCAGTAACAAGTGGCGTCACCCCTCCAAAGAGGAAGGAGCGGTGGTGGGAACCTCTAGTGCGATCCTCCCATGGTCCTGTCTCAGGGAGGTGATCAGCAGTCCAGGAGATCCGTATATGGGGTCTTGGAAGGAGATGAGATCCGGAGGTCGGTATTCGTACAGTCCTGGGCAGGAGGAGGGCTGAGTCTGTAGCCAGGAAGGAGGGGAGGGTGTCTGTGCAGGCAGCCCGTAGTCCAGCGCTGGGAGCCCCGTACAGATCCGCACACTCTCCGCTCTACAGCCCATCCTGCTGCAGCTCCAACTCAGTCAGATGCCTTCCCATTGGCTTCGGCGTGGCTGTGTCCTAGCCGCTGATTGGCTGAGCACTCCCACCCAGCGCTGGAAGTTTTGTTTAGCTGTGGAGTTGTAGTGAGGAGGGGGAGGCGGGGATAGCCAAGGGGCAACTGTCACTGTGCTGGGATCACCCCCAATAACTGGCCAGGACGTTCAGAGTCCTGAAGCTCTGCTGGCATCCTGCTCCTGCACCCCCTGGTGGTATCACCTAGTGTGGCCCACACCCCCCTAGGGGCGCCACTGCTTTGATGTAACCTCTATTTCAACATTCTTATTTTTTTTTTTTTTTTTACCTCCTCCTCTCTGTGCATTCGATGACATCTCCATCCATGGATCAAGACAAAAATTAAAGTCTCCTGCCAAGACCAGAATCCCCCTCAAACTCCATAATTTTCCCCAACACTCCATACAAAAATGCTTCTGGATTTTGATTCGGCCAATAAATATTAACCAAGCTATATCTTTGTCCCCGTATTTTCCCTCTTAAGCATAGAAACCAGCCCTATGGGTCCACCAATCTCTCATCCAAATCAAAACTCATGTTTTTGAGAACCTGATCACTACTCCTTTAGCCCTCTTTGTTGGTGAATCTACATAGTACCATGTTGGATAGTACCTCGAGTGTACTTTAATGTTAGTATCATATGATAAATGTGTCTCTTGTAAGAATACATCTGCGGTGAGTTGGTGAACTTCCCTAAGTATCTTAACCACTTCCCGACCGGCCGTTGCATATAAACTGCAGGGTCGGGTGGCCGTTTATAAACGGCCTCCCCGCACCCTGCTTGTGCGCGCTCCCGGGAGCGCGCAGCACTGCGATCCGGTGCCCGCTGTGTCCTACGGACACAGTGAAACACCGATCGTTGGACGGGACCACTGTACGAGGTCCCGATCATGTGATCACTGATTGGCCAATCAGTGATCACATGCAAAGTAGTAAGCAAGATGTCACTTGTGACATCATTGCTTACTACGTGTGAAGTCTGTGAATGATCACAGAGGTCACATGGTACAGGGCTATTCACAACAGCCTTGTACCTTGTGACAAGCTGTGACCAATCACAGCTCACTCAGTACTTCTCAATGAGTGCAAGAATGCAGACAGAGAGAAGGAGAAATGATTGCTTTTACATCCTATATGGGTGTAAAAGCAATCAGTGTAAAAAAAAAAAAAAAATCTTCATCACCCCCACCAAGTAGTACAGTGTCACCATGGTGACACTGTATTGCTAGGGTACCAGTATGTAAAAAAAAAAAAAAAAAAAAAAAATACTAATATAAAAAATAAAAATGTAAAAAAAAAATGTTTAAAAATTATAATTTTTGGTTATAAACTAATTTGGATTTTTTTTTTTTTTTACTAAAAAGATAACGGAATAAATTTTGGCCAAGATTTATGATGAAATATTTATTTGCAAAATTTTATTAAAAAAACACTTTTTTTCAAAATTTTGGGACTTATTTACATAACAAAAAAAATAAAAATCCCAACGGTGAATAAATACCACCACCAAAATAAAGCTTTATCTGTCTCAAAAAAATGGTAAAAAAGTCATTTGGGTACAGTGTTGCATGACCCGCGCAATTGTCATTCAAAGTGTGATAGCGCTGACAACTGAAAATTGCCCTGGTCAGGAAGGGGGTGAAAGTGTCCGGCCTGGAAGGGGGGGAAAGTGTCCGGACAGGAAGGGGTTAAGTCTTTTTAGTGGGAGAGTTCAAACCCTTCCCATTATATGTCGTAAAATTGATCGTGCTCTTAGCCATCTAGTATTTCTGTTCTTTTTCTTGCTCAAAGGGAAAACGATATAGACTACCCATCTCATGGACCTTCCTCACATCACCCCGCCGACTCTAACCCTTACCTAAATTACTAAGAACCCCTTGGCCTGTATATTGCCCTGAAATCTGATGTGGAATTCCCCCCACTAGTGATTCCTGATTTGGGGTAACACTCTGAACATGGGCTCTGACTCCCAGCTATCAGCATGGGGTTTAAGTGTTAAATATCCTGTTTGGCCTCCCAACGCCCCGCCATCTCTACTTATCTTCCCCAAAGACCTGCTGGGAACACGGGTGATGGGGAGGGGGAGAGACAGTGAAGAGAAAAAAAAAAAAAGGGGAGGAAAGAGGAAGACAATTCATCCCCCAGAACCCCCTATCCCTCTCCCCCCCCCCCACTTCCCAATTTAGTCTATCTTTTTTTTATTTACTGGCTGCCACTTCACTTTTTTTGATCTTACACTTTCACTTGACCCCTCCGACCACCCCACAATTCCCACATTCTGCAGTTCTAATTTTTCACAAAGTTCGCTAAGTTCTTCTGGCAGTCTTGGCCTTGCTGAGTTCCCGTCTTTCCACCCGATCAGACATGCCGAGGATCTGTGGCTAGTCTACCTGTCAATGGGTTAAACACCTTTATTTTTTCATGGAGGTCCTCTTCCTGTGTATCCTCAGGGAGGCCCCTAATCCTTAGATGATTTCTTCTCTCTTTTCTTGGTTCTCCAGTTTAATGACAGCAAATGACAGCTTCCTCTGTTCCCTTCGCATCTCCTCCCAATGCATTTCTAGATCACAGATCTGCTGAGCCTGTGTGTCTGTTTTCTCCTCCACTTCTTCCACCCTTGTTAACATTCGTCCAAGATCCGTACCCCCGGTTCACATCTATGCGGCCGTGCGGGCCGCGTTTTGCTCGGGCACGAGAGCCCATTCATTTGAATGGACTCCCGTGCCCGTGACAAGCAGGAAAGAAGTCCCTGCACTACTTTGGAAACCACAGCCTGCATGGGAACCTCGGTTCCCAGTACGGTTGCGTTTTCCAGTGCGGGCGGCGTGCCATTAGAACTAATGGCACCCGCCTGCGGGTCCGCATTTCTCTGTGCGGGTGGTGCGGCTGCAGATTTTTTGTGCGGATCCGCAGCGGCACCACCCGCAAAGATGTGAACTTAAGGCAAGGGTAGGCAACCTGCAGCTCTCCAGCTGTTGCAAGACTACAAGTTCCATCATGCCTCTGCAAGTTGTAGCTGTAACTGTCCGTTTTGTAATGTTGCAATTGCTCATGGGAAATGTAGTTCCACAACAGCTAGAGAGGGTTGCCTACCCCTGACCTAGGGTTATGAATCACTGCCATTTAATTTTTCATAGAAAGTTCCAGTTTTGCAAACATTTCCACCATCTCTATTTTTGTGGGGATTTGAGATATTAGTCCCTGTTGTTTCAGGACATTTTGATCATTTACACTGTCATTGTTTATACATTCTTTAATCTGATTCTCTTCCTGTACTCCAAATGACAATCTAGACTGCTCCCCATCACACTTTCTGCTTCTTTCCTGTTGCTCCGGACATTGTATCTCTGACCTTTTTTCCTATAATGGCAACTATTTCTTTATTGTGCTAGTATTTGTGTTGGATTGCAGGGTTTTTCCACCCCACCTTTAGTGGATCTGTTCTTCATATTAGCTGCAGGTTTTCCACTCAATGTTGAAAATACAAAATTCTCACACC